CACACATGGAGAACCAGCTTGAAAGCCAGCTTCTCACATATATCAGCTCCCACTTGCCCCCACCCTCTGTGCTGCTGCCTCTCTAACAGAGGCATCAGCACTGGAGTCAGGGAGCAGGCAGCTCTGTGGAATCTGGTGCTCATGGGAAGCCAGCTTTTAAGCTGGCTCCCTGCAGCACCAACTCCTGCCCCTGCCACCCATACTGCTGCCTCTGTGAAGGGGGCGGGGGGCAGCTCTATCAGCATGTGCAGGGACCTGGTTTAATAGATGGCTCACACCTCCCCGCCCCTTGCTACCTCTGATACCTTATCATCCCTACCTTATCCTCCCTACCTTCAGCTAATGCCAGCTCCAGCCCTGGGGAAGCTTGGCGTGGCTGCTCGGCTGCCCCTGAGGAACACCAAGGAGCATAGCAACAGAACAAGCTACCTTTACTTCTGCTCTGTTTCTGGCAGTGGTGCTGCCTGCAGAGCTGAGCAGCTGGAGTATAGCAGCTGCTGGCTGGGAGTACGGCTCGTAAGGTAGAGCCACCACCACCACCAGTACAGAAATAAGGATGACATGGTATGGTATTGCTACCCTTACTTCTCCACTACTACCTGCAGAGCTGGAAACTCAGTCAGCAACCAATGCTTCTTTGGCCACCCAGCTCTGATGGCAGCAGCGCAGAAGCAAGGATAACATGGTACGGTATTGCCGCCCTTACTTCTGTACTGCTGCGGACGTAGTACCATCATCAGAGCTGGGCTCCTGGACAAGAGTCACCACTCTCTGGTCACCCAGCTGTGAAGACAATGCAGAAGTACAGGTGGCAATACTGCAGCCCTCCCTAAAATAACCTGGTGGCACCTCTGCAACTTCCTTTTGGGCCAGAAACCCACAATTTGAGAAACACTGGTCTCCCCTCTGAAATCTGTAAAGTACAGGGTAAAAGCACATAAAAGACCATATTTGAAAGTGGGAGACTAGATTTCATGTCGCATGTTGGTTTTTCATGGCCGTGAATTTGGAAGGGACCCACCCACAGTAGAATACACATAGGGACTAGCTCTTGAGAAAAACTGCTGTTTCACTGTCTTTCCTTATCCAACACTCTCTCCACTTTTCTGTTTGAATCACTTTTAATGTCTCCTTAAAGCTTTCCTGAGCTCCTTACCAAAAGTGTGTTATCACTTCAGACACTTCAGTACATGAAGTATGTGATAATGATTCACCATTATGAACTCTTCACAACAGTATTGCCTAGCTTTGGGACTCAGGAACTCAACCAATCAACAAGTATGTTCATTCTCATAGACTTTAAGCACACAATGAAAACAATCTAGCCAAAAACACAAGTATTACAAAATGTTGAGAAGCGAGAATTTAATTTTCCCAATGTATACACGGTATCTACTATCTTTCCCCCTACCAAAAACAAAAAACAGCCCAACCAAAACTTCCCTTTTGTCAAAAAATGAAATTTACCAAAATCCCCTTGTCTTGTGATCACTGGGGTATTCAATACTTATTGGTGAAGTAATTTAAATTTAACACTTTTTTCTTTGCAGGTCATAATTAATGCCTGAATTAGCCACTCACTCTGAAAATGCCTTGTAGGACCATTTAATATTTTATATTGCCTGTTCTCAACCACAGCACGTTCAGGGTTATATATATTACATACATGAACATTCTCCCTGGAGCAATTTGCAGCAATGGGGTTTTGAGCAGGGCTTTTCAAAGCAGAAAAGGTATGGGAAGTTTCTATTCAGTACTTTGCACACATTCATCAAAGATCCACTGATAAAAAGATTTATATTAAAACATTTATATTAAAGGAAACAATTGTCTATCTTACATTATTTTAGCATTTGACTATTAACTGCCTTGGAAACAAAACTAAACTCTACAAATTAATTTATTTGATTAATTGA